GGCACGCCCCCACCGTCTTGATGCTTCTCCACCCACAGTTCGGCGCTCCCATCATGTTTCAACCTTTACCCACCACCAACTCTTCTTCTTCTTCTTCTTCTTGACACCATGCATGCAAGAGATAACGAAAAGGAAAATCCAGAAGGAGAAAGAAATGAAAAGTACGTAGTAGATATATGCATTGCAGGAGAGAGTTGGGATTTTCAGGTAGCTTAATTGCATGCTCTAGCTGCTTAATTAGCTATAGCTCTTTTAATTTAGGATTTTTTTTTTGAAATTATTTTTTATTATTCATTTTCATTTTTGTTTTACTTATTAATTAATTAGTGACCAGTTTCCCATCGTATGTGTATTATGTAATGTATATGTGCAGTTATCCTAACACAATTTTGCAATATGACGACCATCTTTATTTACCCTTCTTGATTGTGAAGTTATGTGGTTCAGGTATTAGAGTATGCCACTCGACCATATTTCCTTTGGTATGTACTACGAAGATTAATTTTTCACAAAAATTAAAATTACTTCATGATATCATAGGTCCTAAATTATCTGAAATATATTTTGGGGTACTCTCGATTTTTCGATAAGAATTCTCAAGTCCCTCATTATCCAAAATATACTCTGGAATTCTTCAAATTTGTGATATTATACTCATAGGGTAGATTCTCTCATTTAGGCATTAGATTAAAAAAAATTGCTTTGAATAATTGAAGATTTTTTTTAAATTTAATAAAATATATATTGTAATGATTATCAACGTAAAATTTAGTAACGGCCAAATAGACGGAATGTACCTTTGGAGTAGATTATCACAAATTCTAAAGATCTGTATAGTATATTTTAGACAATATGAGACCTGAAAATTCTTTCGAGAAAATCAAGAGTATACTAAAGTATGTTTATGATAATGTGAGACATGAGAGTTATAACTAGAAAATCAAGGATACCACATACTCCGTAGTAATTTTAAATTTTACATGTGGACTATGAGAGAATAATACTCCATATTGCTATTCTTGATTGAAGTCCAGACCCTAAGATTAATAGAAAGCTCACCTATTAAGTTGAGAAAATATGAGTGTATATATATATATACACTACATTGTAGTATATTCAAGTAACATTCAGAAACGATGGAGTACTATTTTTTCAAAAGAGTAATTATCCTAGTTAATGGCTAAATAAAACACTTAGGACTTACAAAACCATATACTATACGTGTCTACGCAAAACACAGAGTGAAAGTAGTATGTGATATGTAAATTATTAGGACAAAAGTATGATGTGATTGATGTATAGAGTATGAAAAAGTAAGAGATAAAAGTGGTTTTTTTAATAGAAATGGAAATGAGATTGTACGTGGGACACCATTTGTTTGAAACATGAAGGAGTTTTTGGGACGGATGAATACTTGAATAATGTCTAGCGGCAGGAAGAATTTCTAGTTATGGTGGACATTTAATTTGAACAATGTCCAGTGGCGCTGCATATTTACTTAAACAATGACCAGTGGACATTGAGTAGTAGTACTATATTGGGAAATAAAAAACATATGGTAATACATTAGGAAAGTCGTTATGTTTTAATGCTATTTAGGTAAATTCCCTATTTTAACATCATTTTATATAACAAATCGTATGAAATTAAAAAATAAAAATTACATATTTAAAAACTACATAAAAAGATATTTGATTTAAAACTATTGTTGACATGGCTATGTTATATTGTCAAATGGGCAATCAAAATACGCTAACAAAGTGAATTAAGTTTGACCCTGTGAATAGTGAATGACAGCATTATTGTTGGACGAAAGGAGTATACGGAGTATTATTTATTACTCTCATCGTCCCTAAAAACTCTTCATGAGATGAGTTAGTAGATGTGTATGATTTAACTAGTATTTAACCCGTGCAACGCACGGGGTCGAACGAATGTTATTTTTAACTCTTTTAAATGTTTGTTTTAAGTACATAATTAGAAAATGAAGCTAAATATAATAGAGAATGTTAGAATTTTAATAAATGATACAACACAAACAGAGTATGATAACTAAATTTAATGGGAAACAAAATTGGAATCAAACGTATAAATGTATTAATTAAATCTAAATTTTTTGAAAAACTTCAGGGTAAACCACATTTTTGGTGCAATTGCTAGGGTTACCACTGTCATCTAAAACTAACACTTTCAATCCTTTCTTGGTTTTCACTCGTGAAACTGCAACATAAAGTTGACCGTGAGTGAATACCGATTTGGTCAAGAATAATCCAACAAATGACAATGTTTGGCCTTGACTCTTATTGATTGTCATGCCAAAACATAAAGATATTGGAAATTGTCTTCTTTGAAACTTAAACGGCAATCCAGGATCTGACGGTACCAAATTCATTCTTGGTATGTAAACTTTCTCACCGGCATTATTTCCTGATACAACAATTGCACCGATAACGTTTCTTCGCAACTCTTCAACTATTAATCTTGTACCATTACACAACCCAGATGTTTAATCAATGTTTCTTAACAACATAATTGGTACTCCTTTCTTTAAAACAATTCTGTGGTTTGGAACCCCAGAACACTTGATATCGTTCAAAAGCTCAGTCGTTACCCAATCACCATCTATGCCTATATCTGCATCTGCTTGACACGAAGAATCAAAGCTCAAATACTCCTTTTCATCTCCAGGAATTAGAGACAACAAAATCATTGATCATTTCAACAACTTCAAGTGTGGGTGCTAATAAAGCTCTATCCATAAAAAAGGTATAATCTTTCATATTTTCCAATAAGTCTGGATACGTGAATTCCACTATACTCTGAAGTGGAGAACTTGAGTTCAGGATCAAGGATTCAGGTGGAATTTCAATTTCACCAATTCCATCATTAACCACGCCAAGCTGTCCATCTCCGATCTTTATTATCCACTCTGAAAAAAGTTCTATGTCACGGTTTGCGTGGCTGGATGAAGATAAATGCAATCTCATATTCTTAGTCAATGTAAATACTTTACAATACGACCACAAAGTCGAAGAATTCACGCTAGCTTCCACGATTTCTTCTCTTGAAGCTCTTGGTATAACTGGAAGTATTTGATGGAAGTCACCTCCGAGCACTACCGTTTTTCCACCGAAAGGTTCATTTGCAGCATTTTTACTGGAGCATTTTTTGCTGCATTTAAAAAAGTGATATTTGTTATTGTTACATAAATGGGTTTATTAGGTCTATTATATCAAATAATTTTTAAATATTATTTATCTCATTAATATACATTCTTTTTTTATGTAATTATTGGCGAAAGGTCGAAAATGGTTAACCGGAAAAAGTCAAAACTGGAGAAAACTGAAAATAAGACAAATATTCCTAGATAGAGAGTAAAATATTGGTAAAATATAAAATTCATATTACACTCCCTACGTTCATGAGTTTTTCCTAAATCAAATTTTAATTTTTTCCATTCATAATTGGTAAATTTTTGAATAGAATTACTAAAAATGATATTTGATATTGTTACATAAATGGGTTTATTAGATCTATTATATCAAATACTTTTTAAATATTATTTATCTCATTAATATACATTTTATTTTTTATGTAATTATTGGCGAAAGGTTGAAAACGGTTGACTGAAAAAAGTCAAAACTGGATAAAACTCAAAATTAGAGAAATATTCCTAGACAGAGAGAGTAACATATTGGTATAATATGAAATTCATATTATACTCCCTCCGTTCATGTTTTTTTCCTAAATCACATTTGTCTTTTTTAAGACATAATTGGCAAATTTTAATATCAAATTAAAAGAATTTATATTAGACATTGTTACATAAATGGTTTTATTAGATTTATTATATCAAATTTCATAAATCTTATATGTTTTCTTGTTTTTCCCCTAAGTATTACGGAGTATTCATTAATTATTCACATCTCAAAGTCCCAAAAAAGTAGTATTAAGTAATTATTCATTGTGGGATCTTTTGAGATACACATTCTATATAATATGCGAAAACATTTTTAAAAAAGTATCAAGTTTAATCAAAGTATAAAACAATTTAAAGATTGGAGTAATTTTTGTTTTGGCACACCAAAAGATGAAGTAAGTATTCTCAAATTGTGGTATCTTATTTTTTTGGTAACATTGAACCTAATGGGTGTATTAATGCTGAGAAATATTGGAATTTGAAACCATTGCGGATCTCAAAAATATTATCACAGTCATAATATTTTTCGTAAGATAACGTTACACGTTGATTTTAAATAAACACACCAACTCCTAGGGTTGAGCTAAGCCCCACACTTACCTTAAGAAAAGCCAGTGTTGAAGTTCCACATTTTTTGTGAGGGTGGGTCAGGAAATTAAGAATCTACAAATTTCTGAGAGCATAAGGAGAGTTTTGGGGCCATTGTATATATCTTGAAAAGTAAAATATTTTCAAAAATATGTATAATAAAGAATGGTTGAACTGGAATGTGATCACGTATCATTTTATATCATTTCTTTATAAAAACTAAAATACGGAGTGTATAATAATAAATTAATTAAGCAAATGACATAATCTTTAGTTGCCAAGTCCAAAAAGTGAATTTGCCTAAAAGTGTAGCAACACTATTTTTTCCAGTTTCTTCACAAAAAAGGAAGCTGAAAACATGAGGAAATGTTGGTGTTGGATGGCTAATTTGCGAGCAAAAACTCCAAGAGCAGGAAAAATCAGTGCTAAATTATAGCATCATTGCTCACCCAAACAAATTACAAAAACACAACTGATTTGCAGCTTCCCATAGTTTTCCTAATTCATAAAACTGGATTAAATAATTAGAGTCAAGACAGCAAGAAGGCAACACTCAAAAGACATAAAATTCCCAGAAATAAAAAAGAGGGAAGTGTGTGAAACCCAAAAACATCAAAATCTCAAAAGAAGCTAACACGGGTGTTGACATATCAATATATCACCTGTGAATATAAATTGTGCAAACATGCAATCTTATTTAAAACACTAAATGCCACCAAATTGCAATTTTTTAAATTCAAACAACAAAGAATCCAAGAATTATAAATTATAATATGTCTAAGTCATAAATAGAACACAAAGAATAACAATACTCTCAAGGTCACATATTAATTCTAGTATTAATTTTTCTCTATTTTAACGGTCTTCATCTTCTTGCTTGGTTCTTCACCGTCTCTATCACAATGTTCAACTTCTTTCATTCTTTTGTCAATAGTAGAGCCTGTGATATCATCGTGATTATCCTTTGATTCCACAAAATCTTCAATTAAATTCTGCATGACAGAAAAAACAATCCTCTAATGCAAGACACATTAACAAACAACACCTATGATGCGAACATAGTTTGAATTAAGTCTAAACAGAATAAATAGTACTGCTTGATACAATAGCATTCCTCTTCTTGTTTCAAATTTGCCTTGCTAACCTCAAGGATAAGACAGATCTGATTCCCATTTTTTCCTTTCTATACATTACTGCTAGCACCTATATTCTCTTGCTTGAAACCAATAGCATTCATCTCTTAACTTTTTATTAAACTAAGCAAATATAACGTGCTAGTGTACACCTATTCCTCTCACTTACCCATATGCAATGCCAAGCACGGGTTAAAAGAATATACAAAGTTTATTTTATTCGTGCATTTTTTAGAGACCTAACCTTCACACATGATGATGCTTCACCCATTGAGAAGGTGTGCTGCGAGGATTTTTCCCCAGTTGAAAGTCCCAAAGTCACATATGTCTATTAATAGGAATTCCCAAAACAACATCTTTATTAGCATCTCAAAAGCAATGTGTTTATCATACATAATAAAGATATGACTATGGGCAATTTATATTCCATTAATAATGTAATCAAACCTGGGCCAAGAAAAACGTTGAGTTCCTTTCCTTGAATTGCGAGATGGTTCTCTCATCAAAACAAATGTCAATGACATTATAGGAAGGATCAAACTCATTGCGGTGTGTACGACTAACATCAACTTTGAAAAGATACGATTTATCTATCAATAGTTTATTAAAGACACTCGGTTGTATGTCTCCTCCCGGCAGGTTCTGTATGAACAATTGAAACAACGGTCACTAAGTACACCAAAATCAGGAACCAATGTTATATTTAATTGGTTTTTTTCTCAGCATAACATACAGTGAAGGGCAAAAAAAACCAAAGGTTTGAAATCAGTTTTCTTGAAACACACACTGCAAGCTAAAATAAAAATTAGTCTTCTCATCGAAACGAAGACCAACTGCATCAGAAAACCAATTGTGCCATTCTTCTTTCTCACGTCAAGAGTCATTATCAGCGGAACCACACACTAATTAATAAATCTTTTGTTCAAATAAATATTAGGCCTCTCATAAACACTAAAAAACTGATTAAGTGTGTCAGAATTAGGGTGAAGTTCGTAAAAAACTGATATGGGACTAAATTGTTAAAAGTCAGTCGGGTCGGTTGATTGGTTTATAACATACATGAGTCATCCTAATGCTGTCTATACATAAACTCAAAGGGGTTATAATTTATTGAATGTATAATACTTCCTTAAAAAAATCAGCCTATGACAAATCAAGATACATAAAGTCAGATAGAGCATACTATTTGAGACCAATTATGATACAGTGGAGGTAAATATTATGTCCATCTGTTGATTTTAAAAACTACAGGGTAGAGAGTCGAACCCAATGGTTCAGGCCTGTACGTAGAAATTAGTAGGGTATGAAATCAGTTTTTTTGAAATCAGTGGCATTTGAAATTAGTATCTTGAAATCAGTGAGGTGTTTGAAATCAGTTTGGCCATACCAAGGTTGACCACACACCTCACTAAACCCACTCTGGACAAAGGTTGTCCATACACCTCCATAAACCCACCTCAGGCATACAGTTTCTTAACACTGATTTCATATGCCACACTAACACAGTGACCACAGATGTTTTTCCTAAACCAAGAGCAGAAGAGTTCAGGCAGTGCAAAATAAACCATGCCTCAATGAGTTCAAACCAAGTTATTTAAGTAGTCTTTGATAAAAAAAATTATCTTTTTATAACATACATGAGTCATCCAAATGCTGTCTATACATAAACTCACAGGGGTTATAATTTATTGAATGTATAATACTTCCTTCAAAAAATCAGCCTATGACAAATCAAGATACATAAAGCCAGACAGAGCATACTATTTGAGACCAATTATGGTACAGTGGAGGTAAATATTATGTCCATATGTTGATTTTAAAAACTACAGGGTCTAAAATAGTTCAACGCATCACAACAATGAATGGCTCGGTATGGGTCAAAGAATTTTAATCTGGACTTAAAACAGGTGTAAGATAATTTGTTATTGTCACATATTTATCCATACCTCAGAATATTTCAACATCTCCGAACATGATTTATGGAGCAGCAAGCATCCAACGTTTTCAAGTAACAGTGGTTCTTGGTTGGAAATTCAGCCTGAACTCATGTCGAGTGGTCCGATTACATCCACTGCTAATGCCGATGCCAAAATAGGCAAAGACATACACAGACCCTTCCTTTATCCGCTTCTCAAAAGTTCCAACTAAACTTCTCCGGACAGTGGCATGTATCGTAGTTCCCTACATTTTTTTATTCAAATTAAACATCATCATAAATCAGCAACAACATATCCTCTTAGGAAACAACAACAAATATGAATATAATAACAAAAAAAGTAAACAACAAAACATCTTAATCATACACTAAGCAAACAGGCAGCAGCAAGCCTGTCTTTAAGGATGCAAACAGACAGTAAGGCTGTATTTATAATCATACACTAAACATTTTTTCTTCTATAAAAAGGCACCGACAATGTACTAATTGTAAGTTTAATGCAGACCAACTGTAACATGCCAAAATGAATATATATTTTTAAGTAGGCAACCATAAAACCTGCTTATTACTAAACTAATAAATATCTAGATCTTCCAATGACATTTTTTAAAATTTATTACAGACCTATGAAACTATAATCCACACACAGCAAATACAACCTATATTGACTTATTAGTTACTAAGAGACCTACATCAAATACAACTATACTAACAATATGCCAGTAACACCACACGGAAAAACCCAACATCCAAGATATTATCAAATAATAGAAATAATATAATTAATGAAAAGAAATATGATGAATCAAGAGAATGTGAAATACATGTTCATCCATGAACACCATCTCAATAAAATTTGTAGTCTTATGATCATTAAAAGCGGGTAAAGTATACAATCTTATGACACGAACCATGATCCTCCAACTTTCACTGCTTGGAGTGATCTTGGACAGTGGATGGATGGTCATTGACACGTATTGAACCAAAAAACAAAAAGAAGGCTGAATCTCAGAAAATAGTATGCCTCAGACGTGATTGCTGGGTTGTTCTTGAGGAGAAATTATGTATATATATAATTATAGGAAGAAAGAATATTGCTATTATACCAATATAAATTAGGTATACGATTTCTCAATGTAATTAGGGTATACAAATATAAATTAGGTATGAATCACGATTTTTATTATTTCAATTAATTGAAGGAAGCAGATTGGTATCAATCAACCCACCAATTCGACGAAAAAAAGAATTTTCCGGAAAAAATTAGGGTAAAATTGGGGTAGCCGAAGAAGAAGAATGGAAAGTCGAATAGCAGTACCTCGATTTCTTTCCTTCCGTGTAAATCCAAGGCAGCGAGTAATCAGGGCTGAATCAAATTAGTTTCCTAGCGTGAATTGAAGATCCAATTTTTTTACTTTCCTTCCGCGAAGAACGCGAAGAAGGTCGAGGGGAAGAAAGGAGGAGCGCTAATAATTGGACGCGTGTCATCCGAGGGGTAAGCAAAATAGAAGCCTTTCACTTGCCACGTGTCATCATTCTAGGCTATCAACTCTCGAATATTATATTAAAGGATTAATGTTTTTTACTAAATTTATAAACCAAATCTAGTTATTAATTTCTCTTACTTTAAAAAATTAAATGTTGTAAGTGGATGTCGAGCCCAAACACATTTGGGAGGATGAGTGCACATAACTCATCCACTTAAGCTACCGATTTTGTTGTTTATAATTCACACATAAAGTAATATATTGTTGTATATATCGATTTCAACTGCATGCTTTGAATTCAAAACCTTCATTGATTCAATTCACTTCGTATCAGCGTATTGTTTAGAAAAAAGCTAGTAAATTAATGATTGGTTATATGCTACCGAATTAATGATTCGCTCATTATTATTTTTTATTGAAATTTTAAACTTTCGCTCATTGTCTTATTCAATTCTTGATGTATAGTTTTCAAAAAAAGAATCGTAAATTACTGATTCACAAAATAAGTTTATACTCGGCACCGAGTATAATTTAATTAGTCGGGGGTTAAGGGTCCTTTTTTTATCTAGTGTCGGGCCATAAAATTCTCGGGATCGGTCCTGAATTCATCAGAGTAAGAGTAACATTTTAATTGAAAATATAATTTTCTTTTGAGATAGATGAAAAGTGAAATGATATGGAGTTTTAAATAGCCTAAAATTCACCATTGCTCCTTCAATTAACTTTATGAGTTGTGCACAATTGGTCATTCAAATTTTAAAAGTCCATGAATAGTCCTTCAAATTTATGAATTGTGCAGTCTTTCAAGTTTCAAAAGTCCCTAAGTAGTCCTTCAAGTACACGTAAGCCCTCTAGATGAGGTCCTTTTATCAGTAGATATTAGAAGCTAATTAAATGAAATACTAGTTTCATATAATACGAGTAAGTTCTACTACGTACGACTACTCCGTATTATATAGAGCTAGTACTCCATTTAGCTTTTAATGTTTACCGTAAAAAAGACCTCATCTGGAGGGCTAACATTTACTTGAAGTTTACTTATGGACTTAATCATGCATAATTTATAAAGTCGAAGAATATTTATAGACTTTTAAAACTTGAACGACCAATCGCACACAACTGATAAAATTGAAGGACCAATAGTAGAATTTAGCCTTTTTAATATGAATAATTAGATTTAAAAGTTGGGAGTTGGGACTAACATTTTCACAAATAACTATGTTCACAAATAATGGCCAGGTTCAACTATATATGAAGGTAAGCGTGGAATGATTTATGTTTTGCATTAAGATCTTTTGTTGGGTCTAAATTCAGATCACATTCCTTATTGCTCACTTAAATTAAAACTTCATTTATGTTTTGGGTGTCATCCTTTGGGGGATGGAGAGACTATGAAAGAAAAGGCACAAGTCATCATCATTTGAAAATGAAAATGAAAATGAAAAAGGGGATGAGCATCCAAGAAAAGAGTTAAAAACCCAACAACAACAACAACAACCCAGTTAAATCTCACAAGAGTAGGGTCTGGGGGGTGTGTGTACGCAGACCTTACCCCTACTCGAAAGTAGAGAGGCTGTTTCCAAAGAGACCCCCGGCTCAACGTCTTGCATTGCTTGACTAACTGCTACTTCATTAATTAAAGAAGCGCAGATAGTTTAGAGATCCATTTTTATTTATTGCATGATTTGTAAAGCTTTGCCCTCACACTGGTCACCACTGTTGCCTCGATTTCTAACCAAATACTATCATGTGCGTATATGCTGTCAAATGGCCTCTACGCGCCAACTGTCTTTAAAAATTTACTTGGCACTCTTTCTTGGAAAAAAAATTCTAAAACTCTATCTTGTACACCAAATTCAAATTATTTAATTAAAATTGGGGACAATAATTCTAATAAATTATAAAAATATGTACATTTGAAATTGGAGAATTCAATTCTTTCCAAATCAATTCCATATAACTTTAATTTCTAATTCAATTCCAATTCCGTCAATTTTGTGTGCCAAATGAAGCATAAATATTTCATCCATCCTAAAATAATATTTCATCCATCCTAAAATAAATTTTCTATTTCATTTGATAGTGCTAGTCTAAAGTTATTTTCAATCAATATAAATAAAAATTTATATAGAGTTAAAAAACAAAAAAATAATATATTAAAAAATTACTCCCTCCGTCTGACCGTCCCTAATTTGATTACAAATTGCGGGTTACGGAGTAAAATTGTTATGGACTGAAACCATTGCAAGGTATGGGACTTGTCCCACATCGGTTGTATGGGCAATTGATGTGGGGTTTATAGGCCAAATGGGTTCCCTCACCTATCAGACTAGTCTTTTGGGTTGAGTTCTTCCGTTTGGTCTGTAACAGTGGTATCAGAGCCAACCTCAGAGTGGTGGCCCACGGAGTGGTGGCCTGGAGAGAGCCAGCCGTGACCAACGAGGACGTTGGTCCTTAAGGAGGGGCGAATGTTATGGACTGAAACCATTGCAAGGTATGAGACTTGTCCCACATCGGTTGTATGGGCAATTGATGTGGGGTTTATAGGCCAAATGGGTTCCCTCACCTATCAGACTAGTCTTTTGGGTTGAGTTCTTCCGTTTGGTCTGTAACAAAAATTTCTTACTTTTTGAAATCATTTTATTTACAAATTGATATATCAATAAAATATAAAAATTACATATTAAAAAACTACGTCAAAAGTTCTACAAAGCAAGAGGTGACAAGAATATTTTATTTTATCAAATACTTAATGAAATAACGTAAACAAACAAAAGTTATCGAGAGAAGAGAGAAAAAAATTGTAATCCATTTTAGGCCTCACATTCTAATAATAAGAATAATAATTCATTTATTATCCTTGTTTTAGGGTTGCGGTACTCATGACATTGATAAACAATCTAATGGAATGATTCGAGAGCCGTATTTTGCTATGCTCATAAAATTAACGGTTCCTATCTTTTCTAACCCCCTGGTGAACCCCTCACCGCGCCCCGCCCCAAACTCACAGTCCCATCCCGTTCAATTGCATCCCCCAATTTTCATTCACTCTGGAGTCAAAATTTTGACTCCAAATTTAATCAAACTTGGAGGAATAAATTGAAGGAGTGGGGCGGTAGGTTCGGGACGGGTGAGAGATTTATGAGGGAGTTATAAGAGATAGAAACCGTCAATTTTCTGAACGAAATGGCGTACAACCCCAGATCGTTTTATGACATTGCTTAGCAATTTAGTTTTTTATTTTTTTAAATCAGCCCCAGAAATCAGGGGTACAACAATTTAGTTTTTTATGTTTTTAAACATTTATAAGATTACTAATTACTTAAATAAAAAGTATTTTATTATTATAGGCCTCAAATTCACCCATCTTAAACAAAGTTTATAAACGACCATTGTTCTATTTTAGGGTCTCAAATTCTTTAATTTTAAACAAAGAAATAAATTAAATATTTTCCATTAAAAAAACATATATACATACATACATACATACATATATATAGACACACACACACACACACACATATATATATATATATTTATATATATATGTCATTCAGCACATAATGTGATTGTGAAAATGTTAATAAGATCCTGTATATGCATTACGTAAATATCTAGCATTCTAGCTTAATGCATAATACGGAGTACTCCGTAATAAAGGTCTTAAATTTCTTCCATTTTTGCATTGATGGCCATGGTGAATGAGCTGGCTGTTCCCTGCCTTTGATTAATGCTACTTTCTTGTCTGGCGTATCATGGACCGTAGGGCAGTTGCCATTATTTTCATTCTAGTTAGACATATTTACAGTATATATATAGTCCTTTATTTCATTATCGCTCACTTGTTGTCATTAAATGCTCCTCCTTTTCGAAAGGAAATAATCCATTCTAGATTTGATTTTCGTAAATTTTACTTCAACCGCCCTAAAATTAGTATCACTATTACTATTATGATATTTCGATAATTTTTGTTTTTTTGGTATGTTTATATTGATAAAATAAAATATTCTAACCTCTTGTGGCATAGAATTTTAATTTTTTGTATCCTTTTGAATAGTATAACTTTTACTTTTAATTTCTATAAAAAGATTTAATTAAAATAATTTTAAAAGTAATGAAATTTTACATGTTACGTTGTTCGGGACGGATGGAGTATGAGAATACAAGTGGCTTGGATACGATGTTTCACTATTTTTGACTCCCTCCGTCCCAATTAATAGTGCCTGTTTCGGTTTACGATGTTTGATTAAATTTTTTTCAAATCATTTTGTATGACAAATGGTATAGAAATACAAAATAAAAATTAAATATTACTCCGTAGAATAGTACATCAAAAGATCTAAAAAGCTAGTAGTAACAATAGTACTTTATTTTATCAAATTTCTAACAAAAATAGAGAAAAAAAGTGAATAAAATTTGGCCAGTGAATAGTAAACATGCATTATATTGTAAATTGGGACGGAGAAACTACTACACTGTATGGACTTCTAACTAATTGAATAAAGTTAGTGGTGCAGTAAAATGTTGGTGTAACCCATTTATACACCAGACCAGTACAGAATCTAAGTGTTTGTGATTGCATACACTTTGGCCCTGTTCTTTAATTTTGCGATT